GAAGAGCGATTTGAAAACCACCTATTTTTTAGTCACGAAATTTCGATTGCAGTCGAAAATGGGAATTCTCGGTTTGAGGTCAATTTCGACTACAGTCGAAGACGGTATCTAGAGGGTTAAAGGCCAGGGAAGAAAATTCCTTGTCCTTTAAAATTGTACTTGCATTCTTTGACCTTTTCAGTTCAGTGTATGCTGTTCTCTATTCTCTATTATAGAAATCTAATATACATGCCCAAGGTTGTAATTATTTAAGAAATTCAGATCACCTACACTAATAGTTTTATTTTAAGCTGATAAGGCAAACTTAGCGAGGATACTTTATTGTCACACTACATGGAAATTGCATGGCTGAATACAACAATGTGAAAAAGCACAAGACAATAAATGAAAATGATAAAAAAAAAAAAAAAAAAAATAATAATATTATATTATTAATATTGAGGAACAAAAAGAGACGATAGCATTGTGTAGAGCACCGTCGCAACCTTTCTGTTATGAATACACAAATAGGCATACAGTATGTGTTCTAATCTTGGTTTATTGCTTTCAAATTTGTGTTGTTTATTATATTCTGTTGTTCTTTTGGATTCATTATTCATGATCATCACTTTCAAGTACACTCTCACAAATCTTCCTGTATTGTTTTCTATATATGAATCATGGTGTGAATTTGATTTGCTTTCTTTTAGTTTTTATTTCATTTGCTCAAAATTGCATCAGTAAAAGTCATATACAGTAGAAGCTTTTCTTTGTAAGAACACATTTTATAAAAACAGTGAGCTGGAAATTACTTAAAAATTAAGACCAAAGTAAGAACAACTTGAGCTAAGGTATTGTAAAATGTCAAATAATATTTTTATTCAAAAAAAAACTAGAAAAAACAAAAAATTGTATTTGTACCTTATATGCAGAGGGTGTGACTATAAACCTCTATAATAGATTATAGTAGGTGTATCTATCTGTAGTTTGGGGTCACTTTTACTGGGGCCTTTATTTCAGGGGCCATTTTTCGCGGGGGATTTTTTTAACTACATTACAGTACAGTGTATACTGCTGTACAATAATAATTTTCTATGTTCGAAAAGTATGTCAACTAAGGTCAAAATAAGAACATTTTCAGCCTGAAATCTGCCAAAGATAAGAACACTAAGCATTGGCAAAATTTTACTGGTTTTTATAAAAAAAAAAAATGTATATCAGTTAGTGTATTTCACTATTTGACCAATATAGTTTCAGAGGAGGAAGACCTAGAAACAGAGCCAACCCCTGCAAAGTTCAAAGAAGAATTAGATGTTGATGTGAAACATGATGTTGGATCAGATCATGGTGAGTTTGAATTTAAAGGTATACTATCGGTAAAAAAAATTTTTTTAAAGCCTTTAAAATTCAATTAAAATTTTGAAAAGGCCATTTTACAGAATCAAAAAAGTTAATAACTTTCACCGCAAGATAAATATAAACTATATCCACAGTACTATTTATGTCCAATGAACATAGTATTTATTTAAACATTTTTTCAAATTCAGTACTTCTTGAAACTACACACCTGTAATGGTATCTGTCCCAATCCTTTAGACTAGGCAACTGGGAATTACCGTCCTGATTTACCATGTTTCCATAAAATAAACTGACGACACGCTGTATATATCTATGTCCCTCTTCTTCAGTCTGAAATTGCAAGTACATCTTGTCTGTATGCCCTTGTAATCCTGAAATGAAATAAATATACTGTTAATATTGTTATTCAAAAAATGAAAACTTCACAAAAAATATAAAACAGTGCAGTAATCATCAAAAGCTTAATTGAATTACACAGTATATATAAATTACATTATAAAAAATTACATACAATAGACACAATATTTAAATTGTAATACAGGCTCATGAATACAGTCTGGCGGATGAGTTATTATGCATAAGGTAATTGATAACTATCTACCATTGAAGAGGTATTGCCAAATTTGAAAACACCCTCTACACTAGGCCATACACACTGGGCAAAAAATTATTTTATTTTATTCAAAAAAAGCAAAAGATAAAAACAGCTAAACATGTTGACTCAATCAAACTAGCCAATATTTTTTTATATCTATTAAAAGTTATAACATAGTTGAATGAAACAATTTATTACAAAGTGCGACAGACTTTATTACAAAGTGGGTCAGTTTTGCGTATTACAAAGTGTGACAGCTTGATTATTACAAAGTGCGACAACAGTTATTACAAAGTGCGACAGGTATTACAAAGTGCGACGATTAACAAAGTGTGACAGTACAGGGGGCGTTTTTGATGCAGTTTTCGACTGAAAGTTCATAACTTAAATATACAAATTGATTAATTCAAATTTTGATTTTAAGCCAAAAAAAGTTCTTGGTTTTTGACTGATGGTATATTTTTAAGATTGTGATCAGAAAGATTGTTGTGGTATTGTTTTTGACAGTCTAATGTTTACATTCAGTAAACCTTACACTGCACCGCATAGTTGTACATATATGCAATTTATTGATACCCTTTTGGAGTTAAGAAGTTACTCTGGAATGGGAGTGTCTGCGCCCAAAGCAAATACTCCAATTTCATATTAGTTTTGTGTCATGAACTTATGATAAATTATAGAGAGAGCAAAATTTTTAATCTTTTTGCATGCGGGCATATCCCATTCCACATCCAACAACTGCCCATGTTTAATAATAATTTGAAGTTGACTAATACCCATTTCACACTGATGCTATTTTGCAAATATTAACAACTTGTAACAAGTTGTAACCAGGTTCGGATGAGTGTGAAAGCAAAATCCTTGTAAACTTTTCGAGATTTCACAGGGGTCCCCTGAGTTATCTCGGAACAAAAACAGACCATCGCGAGGCCTGTTTTTTTCCCCGAGATGTTCCGAGTTGTTGTTGCGCATGCGTCATGTCCATATTTTGACCTTTTTGCCGTTTTTGCGGTCTGTGTTTTTTTTTTTTTTTTGTTAAGTTCGAACGAATGGCGGCAGCGATGGAAAACGTATCAACATTACTCCCATTTGTTAATAGGCCTAGGGGCCTAGACCTAAAATCAAAAGAAATCTCGTTAAATTTCACATGTCTGATGTAGAAACAATCACGAGGCTTCGTAAAATACACCGACAGCGAATCATTATGATACTTGTCGCACTGATTGCCTCTAACAACGGTGAACTACCGGCCGGCGGCCCGACTGCGCCTAGCTAGGCCTATCTTTCTCGCCAGCTCGACTACAGCAAGCGAGCTAGGAGTTGAATTCGTTTTACTCTCCGAAGGCTAAGGACCATGGAATAATTATAATCTTGTTAATTCGGTACCAGGCCTAGTTTAGTAGTTGATATGTAATTCGGACTACCTACAACTAGCCTAGGCCTACTAGTAGTACTACCCTAGGCCTCTAGGCCTATAGTCATAATATTCTTCCGAGTTTTCCCGAGATTTCTCATGGTTTGAAAGTGCATGTGTGAAACGAACCAAAAATCTCGGAATATCAAACTTGTTACAACTTGTTAATAGTTGTTAAAAGTTGTAATATTTTCTGCTAGTGTGAAATGGGTATAAGCACACCATATACACACCAAAACAGTCATGGTTATAATTGTAACCCATAGGCCTAGCTAATATAGTTTATTGTCATTAACATTGCTATAAACATTGTAATAATTGTCATGGACATTGATGTTTTCATCACTGCCATTACTCTCATTTTTATTAAAAAAAATTAAAATTCTTGAAATACCTGATAGTAAATCAGCTTCAAATATTGTTAAAATGAAGATTATATTGCTTACTTGAATATGAAAACATTAACTGTGGGAGACCACACCAAAGTGACATTCAAAGAGTACTGTATTTAATGCCAACCAACTGGAAAGAGGGCAATTCATACATAACAGCTTTTGGCGAATTATGGCACATCACTAACAGATCTTGATTTATTGTTAAAAATATCTAAAAATACGCCGCAAACCTTAAAAATCCCATCCAAACCTTGTCATAGTGATTGAATCGCATAGTATAGGACTCACTTGGTATCTCAATAAAAACCTATTTTTGAGGTAAAAATGCAATTTTTTGTATACAAAATTTGCTAAACCCCACAAACCTAAAAAAACACAGTGCAAACCCCATCCAAACCCTGTGATAGTGATGGAATCATGTAATATAGGACTTGACTTGGTATCTTAATAAAAAAAATTATAATTTTATGTTCATAACATTGAACAAAATATTTTTGGGTAAAATCTTGATTTTTTTGTTTAAAATACCTAACAATAAACCGCAAACCTCCAAAAACACTGCAAACCCCATCCAAACCTTGTCATAGTGATTGAATCGCATAGTATAAGGCTTGTGTGGTATCTCAGCAAAAAAAATCATAATGTTACGTTACTCCAACTTATTTTTGGGGTAAAAACACAATTTTTTGTATAAAAAATGTCTAAACCCCTCAAACCTCCAAAAACACAGTACAAACCCCATCCATACCCTGTGATACTGATGGAATCACGTAGTATAGGATTCACTTGGTGTATCATTAAAAAAAATAACCTTTTTAATTCGCTATCACAAGGTTTGGATGGGGTTTGTGGTGTACTGTTAGTTATTTCTAACTAACAACAAATCAAGGTTTTACCCCAAAAATAGGTTGTTATGAACATAAAATTATAATTTCTTTTATTAAGATACAAAGATATGTCATATACTACGTGATTCAATCACTATCGCAAGGTTTGAATGGCGTTTGCGGTGGTTTTTTTTAGGTTTGCTTGGTTTAGCAATATCCCACTAGGCAAGACTTGAGCTGAACAGGGAAATGAACGCCCTTGCCAAACGATGAGTTCTACAGTAGGATCCTCCTGACCTTGGAGGAGGGTACCTGCTAAGGGTCCCACCTTGGGTGACTGGTATTCATTCATTCATTCATTTACATAAAAATTAGAATAAAAGACCTCTCTCAATGATTTGGCTGTGTATATGTCAACCATTCTTAATATGCTCAATGACAGCCTAGTGTCTTCAACATGATAATGACTAGTAAGTATTAAAGTACTCGTGTATAAACTCAATTTCAAAAGTGGCATATTGACTTATTTTTGTCATTTCTCTTTTGCCTTACTTACACTTGCACGTCTCACATTTTAAATTTGTTTTTATTACTTGAGTACTATAAAGCCTACTAGGCAACGGGATATGATGAAATCCCCGCAATAATGCTTAAAATTGCATCTCCTATAATTGCGCCGGTAATTGCATATTTAATCAATCATTCTTTTACAACGTGTTCCTTCCCAAAAAATTGGAAAATTGCTAAAGTTCTCCCACTATTCAAAGAAGGAGACACCTCAAATCCAGGCAATTATCGACCCAAATCAGTCCTTCCTGTAATATCAAAAATTATCCAAAAAGCCGCACATGATCAACTTTACACATATTTAAATGAAAATAAATTACTTTATGTCACTCAATCAGGCTTTAGGCCGTCATACTCAACGTCCACTGCACTCATCAATGCCACTGAACAATGGTACAGTTGCATTGATGAAGATGGTAGGATTATGCCTTTTAGATTTCAAAAAAGCATTCGACACTGTGAATCATAATATTCTTTTACAAAAATTAAAATTGTACGGCATTGGCAAATTCGCAATAAACTGGCTTAAAAGCTATTTATCTGAACGAACTCAAATTACTGAAATTAACAATAAAAAATCGAAACCTAACATTATAAAATGTGGTGTACCACAGTTTTTTTTTTTTGTTTTTTTTTCCAATTTTTAAGACAACAAACTTTTAAACTTTAAACCTAATTAATTTAGGCAAAACTTTTAACTTTATGCTTGCTTTTATATTATTCTTATCGCGCTCGAACTTGTTGAAAAACGATCTGTTTATAATATTTTATTGATCGAACAAGTCTTTTGTAATGTTTTATTGTGCTTTATATAATTGTTTATATATATGTTACTGTACTTGCAATTTCGAGAATAAATAAAGTTTTTGATTGATTGATTGATTGATTGATTAATATTTAATATCATTATATAGTGGTTGGGAAAATGTTGGAGGAATTGTCTGAAGACAGTGATGAAGAAGATAAGACACAGCTTGTGAAAACAGAAAAGGGTAAGTGTAAAGATTTCAGACATTCACCAGTTTTCAAATGAATTGAATGAATTTAAGTACATTTATAGGCATTTTAGGCAAATTTATGAATGCCATCAAAATCGATATTGCCATTGTCATAAACAGTATTATAGACCATAAATAGATATTTTTATTGTCAATATCATAATATTGACATGTCATCATACTGTGTCACAGATATGTATCTTGTCATCTTTGTCATTAAATTTTAAAATGATAATTTAAAATTGTAAAATCGACACTGAGCTCTTCCCTGGAATGCCTTTCCTTTTAGCTCTTTTTATGACCTACCATGACATTCCAGATTTTGTTGTAACCTGCAGACCTTTCATGGCATTCTAGATTGGTTAGGCCACTATCCTCATCTACAGTGTGTGGTTGTCTGTCTTGTACTGTGCAGTGAAATCTACAGATCTTTTGCCCATAATAAACCAATAGACTATTAACAATGTTATTGTTATTAACACGCCCATGACGAGTATACTCGTCCCACAGGGTTTTGTTGAGGGTGCTAGGGACAACGAACTTGTCAAATCCTGGGTAGCATTCTAATGTTCATGACATTGTTACAGATTCTAGGACCACAGCCTTAATTAAAGCCTTATATTCCAGCGAATATATACCTAGACGTACAGATAACGTACGTATGTTTGCTGTGTTATGTTGCTGCAGGGCTTAATATTTTTTTCCCGCCAGTTTATTAGACACGCCATTATATATGACTAGGTAAAATTTCAAAAAAGTATGAATACTTACTTTGGCACACAGGACAGAACCTAAAAAAATGTCTGGCAGTCAAGCTGTTAACAATGTCATGAATATTGACAATAGATGTTATTAATATTATTATATGAAGTTCCCAAATTGTTGAACATTTCCTGCAAATATTGTGTTATGAAGACAATTTAGGTTGTCTGTGATATATTTGATTGTAACATCTACAGTACCCTATGTAATAATCAAACTCCAAGCAGGAGCATGTGTCCACTGCTTGACATGGCTTTTTTGGGCTACTTTTCACTCATCCACACTTTTTGTGTTAATTCATTTGAATAACTGTAAAATTATATCCCAGATTGTTGACTTTTTAGTGAAAATTCTAGGACAAGACTTACCGAGCCTAGCAGTTTTTTGTGAATTCACTTGATTTATAAATTAACTAGGATAGGTAAACTTACTGTTCATTACTGTTTATTATTATTATTATCTTTCGCTTAAGACCCAACCCATTATCTTCTTTTTGTTTTTTTCTTGTCAAGAATATGAACACTACCATTGACCTATTACTATTATTAATATATTTTTTAACAGTTCAGGAAATATCAGAAGAATTGTCAGAAGATTGTGATATGGGACATACAAAACAGCTTTTAAACACAGATTGTGGTATGTTAAAATATTTCAGAGAATCAATCATTTTCAATTAATCAAATTTAGTCACAGTTATATGCCATTAAAATTTCCATTCACATCCAACAGCAAGAAACTGGCCAATCACAGGGTGGATGATGCATTATAATCCTAGTCTCTTTATTAGGCTTTGGAGTAATTGTTTTGTTTTTTAGAATTTGCTGTCTTTAAATTTGGGGTTATAGTAGATCACACTACCCATTACAACACTATCTTTTGAACAAGTGGTAAACCGACCATCATTTTGTAGCAACCGTATGGAATTTAGTTTTACATACTCTACAATATCATTTTGATAACATTTTATGGTGTGATATATCTACGACTATTATACTAAGTCACAGAAATTTATTGTTCACAACTTCCTCTAATGGAGGATAAAGTGGTAATGGTGTTGATGAGAAGATGATATTGACAAAGATGAAAAATGTTTACTGTATATTTTTCCTTGTAATTTGTAAAGATTCTTATTAGTGTTTATATTGATACTTTTAATTGTTTACTTTTTAGGAGTGACTGATGATGCTTTTCGACAGCTGTTGTTAGTTATTTCAAATTGGTATGACAAGTATGGATACATCAGTATGCTGAAAGTTCTGTACAGGGACCATTTGGAAAAAATTCCTTTTTTAAGCCATGCTTCAAGGACATTGGACATAATGAATTTGTTGATTGCTTGTGGAGACCTGGATTCAACAGATATATCTTTATTTTTTGATACCATCAAGGCAACAAAGACATTTGGTTTGAAAAACAAAATTAAACCACAAATACCATCATGCCCAAATGTTAGAGATGTAAAAATCACAAAATTCACATCTCACAGACAAAAGATTATAAAGCTGGGGATGGCACTGACAAATGACGATATAACAGTGATCAATGAACTGTACAATAAGACAGTAAAAAAATATGCAGATTCATGGAGTTTGATTATGGATCTAGAAGACCGTATGATAATTTGTGAGGGAAAGATGGAGGCATTCATTGACAATCTAAAGGAAAGTGGACTTCTGCGAGCTGTAAATTCTTTAACAGAAGGTTATTATCAATGTTGATATTTCAGTGGCGGATTGGGGTGGGGGTGTTCAAGGGTTTTGGATGAACCTGTGAAGAAACTTAAAAAAACACAACTGGGTCCTGGCTTATGAATGGCATGCTAACCTACCTAGGCATAGGTTGGAAGATCAGACAATTACTAGGCTTAGCCCATCTAGTTTTCAATTAAATAAATTATACACTGTTCTTGGTTCGCCATCCTATTAATTTACATACGAAAGTGCGTTCTTCAGGCCTATCGGTTCATCGATTCATGGAAGAAAGACTACATATCCAACTACTCAGTGTTGTTGGAATATAATAATATATTGCCTGTCTTTGATTTTTTTTCTTTTTTTTTTTTTTTCTGAGGTGGGCATGGCTCAAAGTCTTGATTTTTAGTTCCTATGCATGTAATGCAATAGGAACTATTGTAATCACTCTTGCTATTTCCTATGTTTTTTATTGTGTGTAGTGTGTATGTGTGTGTGTAGACATTTATGCAAATGCGCATGCGTCAAAGAAAAGTTTTCCGACATTTTGTTTTACATCGCGATGCGAAGATCGATGTGGAGTTTCTGCAGAGTTCAGTCAGGGCTCACGCTAACCGACCGGAATGTCGGCATGGATGAAACTATTTTGGTTTTACGGCAAAAAAATCATCTGCTGGCATAGGTATTTTGAAGAAGGCCTAAAATAAAACTAAAATGTTTTAATACTTGCTGAAATACATCGTTTCTTCATTTAGATCTCCATTTTTCACTTAGTCCATGCGTCGTTTTTTTCTGTTGTATACGTATGAGTAGTCATATGAAGGTACTATATCCCTGACAGTTGGCTGTGCAGCAATGTACCTTTTGAATGCAAACTGAAAACAGGTGAAAATATAAAGGCAGCCGACTGTCGGGTACATAACGACTATCTAGCTTTCCACAAAAACATGAGGCCTAAGCTAGGCCTAGTT